TCTAGATGCTAAGGGCTGGAGAGGAAGTGGTAGCAGGCCTGCTGTACACCTTGTTTAATTTATGTTGGGAATTAAAACGGGTACCGGATGACTGGTGTAAAGCAGTTATAGTACCAATATATAAGGGAAAAGGGTCACAGCAGGACTGCAAAAACTACCGCGGTATCAGCTTGCTTAGTATTCTGGGTAAACTGTATGCTAAGGTGTTAATTGAAAGAGTTATGAAAGAAAATGATGGAAAAATTTGGGATGTGCAAGCGGTTTTTAGAAAGGGAATGGGGTGCACAGATCAAGTCTTTTCCATGCGCATGATTGCGGAGAAGTTTTTGGCCAAAAACCAGAAAGTTTTTTGTGCGTTCATGGACTTGGAAAGGGCTTATGACAGAGTGGATAGGAATGTGTTATGGCAAACACTGAACTCATATGGGTTGAGCGCTGGTTTGATACGGGCATTAAGGTCTCTTTATAGGGACTCTAGTGCTTGTGTCAGGATCAATGGGGTCTACTCGGACTGGTTTGGCATCCAAAAAGGTGTCAGACAGGGCTGTGTGGCTTCCCCTTGGCTGTTCAACCTATTTATGGACCAGTGTTTGCAAACTTTGAAATATGAAGAATGCGGGTTAAGAATGGGCGAGTTAACCGTCAAATGCCTTTTGTATGCCGATGATCAAGTCATACTTGCGTCATCGGCGGCAGAGTTGCAAATGATGGTTACATTAATTAACTGGGAATTAAAAGAAAGGGGAATGAAAGTTAGACGAAAGTGATGGTTTTTGAAAGAGAAGAAAGCAAAACGGTATGTGAAATAAGAATAGAAGGAGAGTTAATTGAGCAAGTGGATGAGTTTGTGTATTTGGGATGTGTATTTAGCAGGGATGGTAGATATGATAGGGATATAGGACGACGAGTAAATGCAGGGAATAGAGTGAATGGGGCACTACACTCTATTATGAAGAACCAGAATGTGTCAAAACAGGCACGTATGGTAATTAATAATGCTGTATTAGTACCTACTTTAATGTATGGTAGTGAAAGCTGAGTGTGGCAGAAGAAGCACGAAAGTAGAATAAATGCTGTAGAAATGCGGTCTTGAACGGCCGAGTCGGGAAGGGACGCCCCAGAAAAAAGTTTATCGACCAAATTGGCGATATTTTGAAAATGGGCCACGTTAGAAGTACCCTTAACCGACGAGCATGTATGCGTAGACATATGGATGTAAAGGAGGCGAAAGAGGTATGTCAGGATCGTGCCAAATGGAAGTCCGTAGTCTCTGCCTACCCCTCAGTGTGACAGGCGTGAGTGTTTATGTATTATGATGACAATTCATCTTCCAAGCACCGCAAATATCCTGGCCTGTATCTCAAGCTATGTATACTGCCTATGAAGCAATTTATGAGAAGGCAAATGTTCAACAGTGGACAAAGAGACTGTAATGAGTATGAATGAATGGTGATTGACCAGCAACCGGAGGCACTTTTTTCTAGTAACGAGGAATTTCATCTTAGTTAACAGAATTGACAAAGCATTTGCCTGTTCATACTTTATCGAAGATAGACCTAGGTCTACTGATATTTGGTATTCTTGATAGTCACTCTTATTTGTATTGAAAAAAAAAACCAAGCGTTTATAGCTTTTACTATTCCTTTTAAACACTAACTTTATTTTAATTATTACCTTATAGCAATCCACTGCTGGGTTTGACTTGTCCAGATGTTAGGAGGATTCAGTACGATTATAACGCTCGGCTGATAGATTGCCAATCTTTAAATTAGACTATTTTTGATTTCAGCCCACGTCACCAGTCTAATCCTGATATGCCTACGAGATGGTTATACATCATCATTATAGAGCTCTTAACAAGTCCACTCAAGAACATTTGCCTCGATTTGTCTGGCCATTGATTCATCGATTTTCTGTATTTCTTTCCAGGTTGTCACTCTATCCAGTGTGGGGGGAGGTAGTGTCATTACTGTTCACCTACTGATCAGACGCTATCACTCGAGAACCTTTTTTTCTCATCAGTTCTATCGGTTGTAAATTCTTCGAGCTATATGGCTGGCCTATTGCCACTTCAGCTTACTAATCCGTTGGACTATGTCAGTTATACATGCAAATTCAAAACCTATCGATACAGATGCGAATGACGTCATCATTCTAGCACTTCCCATCAGAAATAGCGTGATGAATTCTCTTTCGTAACAACACCAAGATGCGTATTTGCGCAAACAAAAGGCATTATTTAAGAAATTATATCTCGAAATTATTAAATGAAACTTTATTACCTTCCTCTAGCTTGCTTAATATTTCTTGTCGTAATATAAATCAAAAGGAACGCAGTTTAAGAAATGATATTCTAGACTAAGGAGTTGGTGTGACAATTTTTCATGAATCTAGCTTCTGAATTATATTATCCGGTACTATGTATAATGTATTAAGAACCCTAGAAAAATACTTAGCTAAAAATAAGAGCTGCCATTAAAATTTTATTCTATGCAAGCAAACCGAGCTTTATCCCCGCCACTTGTTTTACCACGAATTCGATAGTGGAAAAAATCATCGTGATGAAACTACAGCGTACCAGCGTAAAATAGTAGCTGCTGCTGCATTTCGTATGGTGAGTGTAGAGAGCCGGAGACACTTTTTACTGGAAATGAAGCATTCCATCTTAGCCCTCACGGGTGATAACGCATCTGCATTTTGATTCGTAATCGAGGATACATGTAGGTGTCTATGAGCCACAGCAACCACTTACCATCAGGTGGACTGTGTGCTCGTTTGTCACCCTATCGTATAAAAACAATGTATACGCGGTATATGCGAGAACGTGATGGTATATTCGTGGTAGATCCTTTCTGCAACCATATTATTGTAGTAGCACAAACGAGTGAGATTGACGAGGGAAAGACCACGCTCTCAAAGAATACCAGCGTGAAATAGCAGCAAAATGCTGCTGTGTTTCATGTGGTGCGTTCCGTGTCTGCCTCTTAAGTGTTACTCCCTGTAATTTATAATATATATATATATATATATATATGTAACACTTAAGAGGCAGGTACAACCTTAACATCTGGAGAAAAGTATATTATTAGACAGTGGGCGGTGGTGTATATTATAGTAAAATTACATACTAATACCAAAATATTCCAATTAACCTAAACTTTAGTCTAATTACTTAGTTAGACTGTGACTTAACCAAAAGATATATTATTTTATTACAGTAACATAATAATAAACTTAACTGGGTTCTTAGCTATCAGTCTTTCTCATGTTCTGGGGGTACCAACCGTAATCAACAATGTCACAATTTGGAGAAATAGTTTTTATATTATCTTCCATTGGATATTCATCTTGCGTGTGTACTGTTACTAGCTTGAGGTTCGTGACAATAAAAACTGCCGATTCAATTACCAAAATTAACACTTTAATTCACTTTACACTAATTAAAATTTAAAACACTAATAATTAATCACACTGATTCACTTTATTTCACTCCGAAGCTTCGCTTGTCTCGCCAAATTCAATACTGCCCCCATCGCAACTTGCAGCGCCTATAAATACACATTAGCACTGAAACATCCAGAACATTCAAGTAAATACGTGCACCAATCGACAAGGCGCCGAAAGTTCGAGTGTCGGCTTCTAGAAGCTTAGTTCTTCGTTTTGACACCAGATGGCGCTGTCGGTTGAAAGATTAGTGATGTCATTTTCTGGAAAGCTCACCTCGCTCTCGTCCCTGACACTACATGACGTCAACTTAAGCACGCATGTTATATATATATATATATATATATATATATATATATATATATATATATATATATATATATATATATATATATATATATATTGCACAAGGACAAATATCCAGACTCGGAAAAGTTATCTGTAGGCAATACAAATATATGTTCCGTGCGGCATCCCAAGCCACGGCAACCAGCAATACAACTATGGAGTGTAGAAGTAAGGAGTACAGACTGTGTATTAAAAAGTGTCCACAGAAAACTGTTAAATAAGGGTGGCGCCACTTACTACTTTAAAGAACGCACTAAAAAATATTAGTGGGATAGACGAATTTTTCGAGGTTACATTTACTAAATATTTTTTTTTTAGATTTTAGAGCTACTGAGCAGTTTAGCAGCACACTTAAACCGTCGACAACTGCTAAGTTCATTTCATCCCAGTGGCTACTCCAGCGCTGTTGTGGAGAGTTTTTGAGCTGTTATTTACTGCTTACAGATGGCCACTTTTTCAACTATTCTACTATGGGAGTTGGTACTCCTTACTTCTACACTCCATAAATGCAACTTATTGTTAAGTCACTGCGCCACGACGTCGACATAGTTTGAGTAGTTATTTTATTTTATTATGCGTATCTTAGCTAATTAATTTTAATATAGTTATTATAATGGATTTCCGCAAAGTAACGCCATATTCTACAAATTATTAATATTGCAATATTGCCGGGCGTTACCGCCTATGAGAGAACCATCTCCTTATTTCTTTTCCGATTTGTTGCATGCGTTCTTTGTTATCATCATCACGATAATAGAAGTCCAATAAATCAGGAAATATTTATTGAACTGCAATAGCGCTTAAACATCCTTATATTAAAGTCAACTAAATTTACTTAATACAGAATGAGATGCAGTGTGGAATTGTTAAAGATTTATAGAAATAATTATAGTTTTAAATAGTTGATATTAACTATTATTTAAGATGTTCTAAGTAGCAGATAATAAAGTGAAGATAAACAATTTCGTAAAAATATTTCCAAATTCCAATATTGATAGTATGTATACCGAATATCGCATCAACAGTTGATCCGATATCATGATAAGAGCTCAAAATCACAATGCTAAAGAGACACTTAAAGATAAAATATTATCCTTTGTGTTACACATCCAAGATAATTCTTTCATATAAATAGTTACTTATTATTTTACAATAGACTGATAGCTATAACGTTAAAATAAATACGGAAGCTTCATACTTTTATTAAAATGCCAGTATTCAAATTAACATTATTATTTTTCGCCATTATTTTCATAAGTATCGTGAACTCTGATCACTTGAATGTTGGTACCAGTGTGAACAGTGAATTAGCATACGTAGAAGATGTAAAATTGTCTGCTATACCAACGAAGAAAAGAACAAAAAACGTGTTTTATAATAGTGAAACAAATCCGAAGATTATTAAGGTATGTTTTAAAATAGTAATTATTTAGAATTTCCTTTAATTTGTGAAAATAGACAAGAAAAAGATACATTTCTCTTATCTTAACAACCTTTTATGATAGATTAAAAGCATTTTTTTTGTAATAAGCTTTTAACAAAATACATAATGTTATATATGGAGTTTCTGCTATAATATTAGAAAAGTATGAGGCGGCAGATGGTGAAATGTTGCATAATACAGATACAGAAAAAACTCAATGTCAGACAAATAAAAATATGTAAAAAATCATCAATACAAGCAAGATAAGCGTTTACATTTTTGATACTCCTTGGATCAGAGAAATATGTATGTATTAATATCAATCAATTCTTTCAATATAGTATATACTTTAAAAAAAGCACTTATGAACGTCAGAATATCATGATAATCACATAGAATTGTCGACCGAGAGACCGTACGGAAGAAGAAAGAGCTCCACGGGAGGTTCTATAAAGCTCTCCATGAGCCTTTCGTAGAGACAGTAGCCTCTCTTCACTGGGAACGTCTTGGTGACCTCTTCAGGGAAACCGATGATGTGTACAGCTGCCCATAGAACCTCTCACCCTCACTCAGAATCTCAGATGTCCCGGAAACGATTCTGCGACATTCAGTCTTCAGGTTCAACAGTTGGCTCTTTCTGGCAGACGGATCTCTGCCGAAGACTTTGGGGCCTGATTTCGCTCGATTGCTTCTTCAATACGAGCTGTAGTGAAGTTGCGTAAGTCCCGCCACATGCTTTAGGAGATCTGTTGGGATTGTATAATTAACAAAATTAAATCCAAACCCAAGCATAATCCTGCAAGACTTCAAGATAATGTAAGCTTGTTCTGCGTAGATCGAAGCAAAAATTAATATTCAAAAAATGAAGATAGCCGGGCTAACTATAATAATGGGACGTCAAACATCTTAGTCCTCCGTGGGTACTGTAAAGTACTCGAAACGTCGGGAATTTAAAATAAGTTAAAAATAAGTTAATTTAACGCGATAAAATCGATATAAATAGTGTTATTCAATATGAAGTGTTCGCTCAAGTTTAAGATATTACGTTAACTGCATTTGTCAAATGATATCAAATATGAAGTAATTTATGAGGAGGCCCATGTTTAGCAGTGAACTTTTTCATAAATTAAATTTATCTGGCGTATATTTGGAAAGACCAAGCATAAATATATAAATACATAAATAAATAAATACAATTAAAAATAATTCGAAAATGTGTAAGGATATATAATTTATTTTTTCAGGGCATAACAGCGGTAGATTATCTGAATTCAAAAGCCAAAGCGACAGTGACTTCTGGCGGAGTTGGATCAACTTTTGCCAACATAAAATTGAAAAGTGAGCGCGGAAGTGGACTGAATTATCAAGTACAAATATTTGTTTAACATTACAATCTCATTGTTTTTCGACAAGAGTTAATTAAATAAATTGTTAATAAATATAAGTAACTATATTTATTATCTAAGCCTTGTGACCAGTTTTTGGTGACCGCGTGGCTTAGTAGTCATCTTTTACTGACTATCATGTCATAAGTCTTTTGGTGGATCACAATCAAAACAAACAATTGTACTTCATTCTTCCTCACGAGCTCGTAAATTTTACTCCAGGATTTTAGCAAGAGCTCCAGTGGATGCCGTATTGGCGATCAATTTTAATATATTTTGTTGTAATATAATATAGAAAGCCTGATATTTTTTCTGGTCTTTCCTATTATCGCCTCTTACAACACTCGTGGAACTATAATATGAGGTGAAAGATTCTCTAACGCCACCACCGCAATTCAAACATAACGCTATCTTTAAAAATTGTACATATTGTTTTACTACCAAGCGTTATAACTAAGGCGAATTCTTTGTACAATAGAAGAGGCACATTTCTGGCAGTGGACTTTCACGGACTTAAAAAGAAGAAAAAGTACGCACGTACTAATACACACATATGAGTTGGAAGAGTCGTAGACGTGCATTTGTGCGTATTGTGTGTGTGTGTGTGTGTGTGTGTGTGTGTGTGTGTGTGTGTGTGTGGTGTGTGTGTGTGTGTGTTTGCGTGTATTTTTTTCACTATTTTCGTGGTAGCAGATAATAAAGTAAGCCCCCGAACGAGTTCCCGTCTTGTCATTACGCGGAAAGCCGTCACTTGGTCATCCGCATGTGTTGGTGGGTTGTGGAAAGAGGTCCTATTCTCCTACCACTGCAGCCAAGGCGGAGTTGCGGGCGAAGAGGAGTGTTGGTATACTGATGTTTCACTTGGTAGAGTGCTGCCATGGAGTAGCGGATGCTGGTGGGGCCGTGGATATTCGCATATCACGACTTCCAGATACATAAATATACAGCATAAAATAGTAGTGCAAAGCTGCTGTGTTTCGTATGGTGAGAGTGAAGAACCGGAGACCAGTTTTTCTGAAAACGAGGCATTCCATCTTTGTCGTCAGAGGTGATAACACACCTGCATTTTGTTTCTTAATTGAGGGTAAAGGTGTCTAGGGGACACTGCACCCACTTATCATCTGGTGGACTGTGTGCTCGTTTGTCACACTATTACACAAAAAGTGCACAAAGACCTTGAGCTATCACGACATTAAATTAGTTTGGTAATTTTGTCAAATTTCTAAATTAATGTCAGTAAAATTAAAAAACAAACATTTCAATTGTTTGCGGGTATTTTCCTTGAAATAAATATTTAATAATAAATATATTTTTTACACTACCAATCGCCATTTTCTATTACCCGATTCATTAAATTTTTTAGGCACCAATAATATTGGGCTAGACCAGTCACTTTTACTAGGTTCTATAATCCCTTCTTGCTTGTTGCTAATTTGACGATTAATTTCCTTTTTCTGACTAATTGGTAACCTATAGGGTTTTGAAAACACTGGACTAACGTTTGGTTTCAAAAAAATATTGTGAATGTAAATATCTGTTGTTGTCAATTTATCGCCCTCTAAATAAAAAAAAACATTTGCATATTTTGCACAAATATTTTGAATACTTTGAATTTCTAAGTCATTTGAATCATTTAATTTTAATGAGGAAAATAATCGTTTTACTCGGTTTGAATTATTCTCATTTTTCTCAAAACTACATATATTATAATCGTTAAGATCATGAATTGCAGGATTTATTCCTGACAATGTTACCGATTTTTCGGTAACATTTAATATTTTTATTGGTATTTTTCCCCTAATTGGTGTCGCTATCGAGCTAGCCAAATAAACGCCATCTTGTATTTCTTGTGAACAAATAATGCAATCGGTTTGAAAATCAGTTTGAATATAATGTATGGATTCACTTCTTGGGGGAATTTCTAATACGTTAATATTATAATTATTAGTGAAAGGCAAGAAACAAGTGTGGCCTGACCCTAACTTCAAAGATAAAATATTTTTCTCGAAATCTAAACATGCTCCAAATCTATTCAAAAAGTCTCTACCTAGAATCCCATGCGACGAAATTGGTAACAAAGTAAAAACAAAGAACTTGTGATTAATAACAGATCCATGAATCATTAATGGAAAATAAACATATCCGATTGTTTGCAACTCGCCACCTAGACCGTTTATAATTACATTCTCTTTATGTAATGAAACACTTAATTCGATAGCATGTTTATATGTTACGGCGGATAAAGATGCGCCCGTGTCGACTAAGAAAGGAATAAGTTTAATTGCATGCTGAAACTGGTAAATGAATAAAACAATTGCTATTACTACTACTTTATTTTGTTTATTCTCGAAAAAAGGATAATAAAATTTCTTACTGGACATACCCATCAGCTCTCATGCGGCCAATGATGATGAAGTCTCTTCATCTTGAGCTGCTTGAATGGCATCTTTCAGAGAGCTGTAATTTCTAGCAGAAATTATTGTGCTGATTCGACGATTTCGTAAGCCATCGGAAAATTGCTTGATCGTTTGTTTTTCATTAACAGTTTTCAAAATATTGTAACATTCGGTATTACCGATGGCTTGCGATATCGTAAGGTCCACAAATAACTCTGTTATTTGTTTACCATAATCAGCAATTGACATATAATTTTGGCGTAATTTTTGCAATTTATTTTGTATTGCTACTGCTCCTTTTCTTGGCAACAAATCTTTCTGCATGTCACTAACTAAGTCTTCAACATTAGAGTAATCGTCTTGAAGACGTAATTTAGCAGATTGAGATAATCTACTTTTTAATATGAATTTAATTAAATTCTTTTTGCATTCCTGTTTTGTTAACAAAGAATTATAATACTGAATATTGTCTACTAATTGTTTCACACTTGTTTCAAACAGATACAGATGCAGACATAACAGGTAATAAAGTCAAAGCCGTTTTCAAATCGAAAATATCCATACTGCTCGGATTTTCAGATTGTACACACTCGGGCTTAAACAATTTTATAATATCCTGATATAATGATTCAAAATTCTTAAAATATGTGTGATAAGATGGAATATCAGTAGATTTAATCTTACCTTCCTTTACTATACTATTAAAATTTATTAGTAACTTAGAATAGTCACTAAATATTTCATTGGCCTCTTTAAATTTAGTATCTAAAACTTTTCCTTCACGTCTACTCGGTCCAATTTTAATTAAATATGTTCTCACTTCTTTTAATTTCTCATATAACTGTTCTAAAGAAATATTCATAACTTACCACCAATACGTAGAATAGAGTAAACTATAAATTTTACGAAATATTTAATATAAAAATAATACGGTTAAATGAAGATTAAAGACAGTACAACGAATACATGATTTAATTTAAAATACATATAAAGTTCAGTAATATAGACTAGAGTTCCAGATTAGTGTAGTTGATTTATAAACACAATACCCTTTTTTGCACTATTAATAGACACTCACTTTTTACTTATTTTATATGCACGGAAACGCTACTTTTAAACTTCAATCAGCGCCGGTCATACTTTAAAATACGCCCTTGGTTGACTTGCCTCTTCAACATTTGTGGGGGGCTGTGGTTGCCGAAAAATAGACCTTCTTAGTGTATTTCTGTTTATCTCTGTGTTAATCCACTTTATATGACATCGCCTATATGTCCGATACAAGCAATATAGGGACCTCAGTAGAAGTATCAGCACAATGATAGACAGTAAAATATTACTCGTAGTCAGGTGAAATTGCAATTTTTCAACTCCTGCCTTATTTCTTCCCACTGCGTTACTTGCGAAATTGCAATTGTTCAACTCCTGCCTTATTTCTTCCCACTGCGTCACACAATTACGGTATCTTCTTTAGTCTTTTTGTTAAACACGTGTACACAGTCGCATATACAGAACGCCATAGCTTGATTTAGTTCATCAGTTGCACACAGAAAAAAATGTTCCACTCCAAATACGGCGGATGGTGTCATATCCGCGTCGCGAATTACTTCGGCAGGGTCGCTATGTAGGGCGAATGTTAGGAGAGGAGTTAAACAAACGAATGATGATATAAGACTCTCTTTATTGTATAAATAAATTTGATTATATAGGATTATTATTACACTTGTGTGTGTACTCTTATATACTCTTACTACTACTACTACAGTATCAATGTGGAAGATTTTGTAATCAGAGGGTATGATCTATTTACATTCTGTGGTTCGAAGCTGTTCATGAGAAATGTTTTCGTATGGGCGTTTTTAATCCATTGTATTAACCAGTATTAAGGTTTTAGCTGTACGATGTATTCTACGTGGAAACTAAATGAGCTCAAAGAAGAATTAAAAAAAAAAGAGGTGCGTCCTGTAGTGGAAGAAAGGCAGACCTTGTAGAGAGGTTAGTAAATAAAAATCAAAAGTTACTGCAGTGTTTTAAAGTTTTTTGGTGAATGTTTTTACTGATTAGCATTAAACTCTTGACCATATTTCTGTGAAACTAAATCCACTTCGTCTATTGTTTGGGAAAAACAAATACTAAGCTGTCTTCTCATTTTTAGGTTAGAGGCGTATGATAGAAATTTTAACTTCACTGATAAATCGTATTCCCCAGAACCAGTACAAGGCGAAGTTGTGGTCATACCAAAAGACGATTTTTATAAAGATATAAACAGCAATACCGAATTGCCACCATTAAAAAAAACATCAAATACAAGAGTATTTTGGAGACTGAGTATATTTATCTATTTAATAAACACTTTATGCCCATAAAAGATTTTTTTCCATTGAAAGGAAAAAAGTATGCTGTATTACTCTTCAAAACCAATTTACGTATCTAAGCATAAAGAAGTAACAAACACACACTCATATACTTTTGTAATATTAGTGCGATTCAAACATAAAATTCAATTCTTTCAGATGCAGTCAATCCTTAATAAAGGGAAAAGTTTATGTGAAAATAGATACCTTCTTATATTAAGGGCTGTCTCAATAAATGATTTTACATATGTAA